CCCCACTCCGTGTTCCGAGTAAGTCGGCTCATCCGCAAGCCGGTGGGGTGAAAAACAAGACCGATCAAAGAGCGGAAGAAGTCTGTGAGTCAACGGCCAGCTAACTACTGGTGTTGCCTCCATAAACCACCGTGAAGGGGGCGTGGTTAAGTCTATGGGAATTAGATCCTCACCCGATAAGGACCGACATGCGCAACAGGCTTCATTTGAGCGTCATCCAGCAACTGCTAGCACAAACGGTGTAAAGAGGATAAAAAAGCCCTCGGAACCTATCCCTCGGCCGAAATGGATCGACGAGCGACAGTTGTGACCGGACCGTTATCCTGAAACTGCTCGCATCAAACACAAAATAACTCTTGGGATATGGAACTTCTAGACATTGAACAACTGCGACTAGTTTGATAATATTAAACAAGAGATGAACAAACTTAACATCAACATTCTAGGTGTATGTTAAACCAGATGGCCAAACAACGGTGATTTTGTCAGCGACAAACACAGGATAATTTATGCAGTGGGTGGGGTGAGAAGAACGACAAAGGTGTAGGACTAATAGTAGATAGCGCAATGGAGTAGTGCGTTCTAAAATACCACCAACTTTCCGAAATAATTCTGTTAGAGAAGCTGAAAGGGAAGCCTTTCAACGTTGCTATTATAATAGCGTACGCACAGACGGCACAAAGCAAGGAAGAGGACATCGAATCTTTCTACTCCATGCTGGATAGTGCCAGAGCTCTATACAAATCACAATTAGTCACCATTATCATGGGAGACCTAAACGGTAAAGTAGATAGGGAAAGGGCAGGGGATATAGCAGGAAGATTCAGACTAGGAACCCGCAATGAACGCGGAGGAAAATGGATCCAATAAGGCAGAGCCAATGGCCAGGTAATAGCCAACACATGAGTCCAAGAACATTCGAGGCGACTATGGACATGGAAGAGCCCAGGAGGAGAAACTAAAAACTAAATTGATTATATAACCACCATCAAAAGATTCAGAAACGCAATGATTCAATCCAAGACCTACCCAAGTGCCGACTGCGGAAACGATCATCGTCCTCTTACATGTAAACTAAGAGTGAATCTGCGGAAATCGAAAAAGCCTAACGCAGTACCCAAACTGCAATGCAACAAACTCCTCAGCAACCCTACCCTAAAAGAAAAAATATATGGACAATGTCAAAAGAAGAGCCGGGGGGACACAATGGAAAATCGAAATGGGACGCACTAAGAGACACTTTAGTGACATCAGCAAACAATATCATCCCAAAAGAGACAAGACGAAGAAGAAAAAACGAATGGATGACAGATGCGATTCTCGACCTGATGGAAAGAAGACAGAAAACTCGGCCAAGATTCGAAACGGAGTACAGATAATTACAAAAATGTGCAGATATAGAAATACTGAGCATTACCAACAAAAGAGATATGCACAAAAAAATAAAGCAGAACCTAACAGAAGACATGCTCGTCAATAGACTGTTTGAAATCAAAGGATGGAACACTCATATTAGAGAAGGAAAAAAATCTTCTTTGCTGGAGCGAGTAAATTGGAGAACTCTTCCACGATGAAAGAGAACAACCAGCAATACACAGAACTATCGACGGACCTGGAATTCTGAAAAGCGAACAAACTGAACAGAAACAAGGCAGCAGGGCCAGACGTAATTGTAACGGAAATGATTTGGCATAGACAAGATCACTGAAATAACAAATGAAATCGACAACAGCGGTGGTATACCGGAAGACCTCAGCAGATCTATCTTCAGGTGCAAACGAATGCCAACTCCACCGAACAATATACCTAATGAACCACGTGACAAAACTCATCATCCGTATACAGAAAACGAGTTCAGCGAATATACAAAAATAGAAAGGGGTGTAAGGCAAGGATGCGTCTTCTCACCCGAACTGTTCAGACTATACAGCGAGGCAATTCTGATAGAATTTTAAACCCTACCGGGATTTAGCACGAGCGGACACAATCTTAAGAAAATAAGATACGTAGATGACACAGTACTGATAGCAGACCTGTAAAAAGAACTTACAAAATCTCTTGCAGAAGGTAGCGACGGAGAGTGTGAAGAAGAGACTAAACATTAACCACAAGAAAACAGAATGCATGGTCATCACAAAAAGGATGAGCCCGAAATACGATTTACAAGTTGGAACACTAGAATCAAGCAGACTCGGAAGTTTAAATATCTGGGAAGCGTTTTGACAGAGGATGGTAAATGCGACATTGAGATCCGTAGACGTATTGGGATGGCCAAGGACGAATTCCAAAAGCTGGGCAGAGTATTGCGAGATAGGAAGATTTCTTTGCTAACGAAGAAAAGAATACTGATTTGTTACATCATATCTGTCCTTCTTTATGACAGCGAATGTTGGATGATTTTCTCAAAGATGAAGAAGAGACTCGATTCGGCGGAGATGTGGTTTTACAGAAGGATGCTTAGGGTATCATGGACCGAGTGTGTGAGCAACGATGAGGTCTTAGAGAGGATGCAAACAAGGAGGAGGCTTATACTTAACACCGGGAAGAGACAGATTAAGTTCCTAGGACACATAATGAGGAAGGAGGGCATGGAG